GAGATATCAATGTGAGAGAGACACATCGACTAGTTGCCACCCACATGACCCCAACCGGGGCCAGGGACAAACTGCAACTGAGGTACGTGTCCTTAGCAGGAACCGAACTCGGGACTCTCTGGTCCACAGGCCGATGCCCTAACCGCTGAGCCAACCAGCCAGGGCTGAATGACATCTTTTAAGGATATTTATATGGGAAGAGGATTCCCATCTTTAGCATTATATTTGTATATAATAGATGCTGTTAATTACTTATTAAATTTTCCTTTCCGTACATTAGACAAATTTGTTTAAATATATATATTTTTTATTTTTTCCATCACCATTTATCCCCCCTGTACCCTCCCCCTTACCTACCACTCCCCCCCATCACCACGCTGTTATCTGTGTCCATGAGTTCTTTCTCTTTTTTGCTCAATCCCTCCATATCCTCCAGCAGAGCTGTCAGCCTACTCTCCATGTATGAGTCTGTTACTATTTCGCTTGTTCAGCTTCAGTCTCATACTTATTCCCCTCTAGTTTGTCTTTAAATTCTTTTAAATTAAAAGCCAAAAGAACTTACTACAAAGAAATAATGAGAATGTTAATGTGTGCTTTGTGGCTTAACACTGTAGAAGCAAAATCCTAGAGGGCATAGCTTTTTAATTTGTGTTTTCTTTTTGAAAAATTGTGACGTGAATGAGTCTGTTTGACTCCTTTATCTTTCCCTTTGTAATGTTTTTGCTCCCACTGTTGACTTTGTCTTCTATCTACCTCAGGTGCCTGGTGCCCTGAAGTTCTCATTTATTACTTACATTGGGCCTCCTTCCAAAAAGAATTAGTCTTCAGATAATAAAAAACACAAATACAATAAAATAATTGAAACAGGATAAGAGTTAATAAAAGAGTAGGCATAATTGTGTAGAACATCTAGAAAACACTGCAGTTGATCATAAAACTTAACCCTCAACAATCTGGTAGCAACCAGAAAGAAAGGTGAAATTTTTGCCATTTTATCAAGTTAGGATGTTGACTCATCCATAGAGAAGACTTTTTCTTGATTGTAAATCCTGAGAGGAATTTTTCATATTGTATTTTATATATGAGATCAATATAAGCAACAGTGTACTTGATTGTATTTCTATACAAATAATAATATAATTTAAATAGAATTAGAGTTCAATAAAAGTAAAAAAATATATTGTTACATTATATACAGGTAGTTTTGGTGTGCCAGAATGATGTAATCTAGGTATGATGCCCCCCCCTTTTTTAATGTATCTTTATCATTGAAAGTATTGCAAATATCCCCCCCATCGACATCCCTCTCCCCAGTCCTGCCCCGTGCCCTGCCTTCACTACACTGTTGTCTGTGTCCATTGGTTATGCATATATACATATAAGTTCTTTGGTTTATCTTTTCCAGCTCCCCTACCTCGCTTCCCTCTGAGATTTGTCAGTCTGTTCCCTACTTTCGTGTGTCTGGATCTATTTTGTTTGACATCTTACTGTGTTGGTTATATTCCATAAATAAGTTGAGATCATGTGGTACTTTTCTTTCTCTGACTGGCTTATTTCCCTTAGCATAATGCTTTTTTAAAAATAATTTCACTGGATTGATTATTCCCAGCCTTTTCAGTCAGGTATTAGTTCCACTTCTTCTTATTTTTAAAAAAATGGTTTGCAGACATTCACATGATAATTGCTAGACTTTCAACATCTATGGAATGAGAAAATGTATAGTAATAAAAGGCTATTGTGTACATTTTTATGTATATTTGTATTTTACTCATAAAAGCTAACTACTGGCATTTACTGAGCACTAATTTTGTATCAGATACTAATTTGTTGTTTATATAGATTCTAATTATTTGAACACTAAAATGTGAATTCCATGAGGGCTAAAATTTCTCTTTTGTCCACTGGTATATCTGCCAGGTTCCTCTACGGGAAAGTTACCATTTTTAACTTTGTAATTAATAAGTATCTTATTGAATATAATTCAAAACTCTGTAAATGGCCTGTTTCTCATTATAATTTTACACTTCAGTTTTAGAATTGAAAGAGCTATTACTTTGATGGTTACCAAGTGGAAAATTTCTAACTCCATTATTCTTTTAACATTTATTAGCTGTAAGAGCTTTCCTTTCTCATTTGTTTATTTATTCAGTGGGTTATAATCAGTTACTATCATTAGTTTGCTCAAATTTGGTCAATGGGAACCCCTTCAATCTGACTCTTGTGTTTTTCTGACATGTCTCCATTTTTCTTTGAATATGTCCTTTTGGCACAAGATGTTCCCAGCCCCATTCCTAGAATCAGCCATTTCTCCAACGAGTCGGGTTTCTTTTAATGGGACATTTAGAAACCAAAGTCTAGGGGTTAGAAGTGCTTTTAGTTACTGGAGTGTTCTTGCTTCTCAACTTTTGGTGACAGAGTTAAAAAAAAGTGTATATGTATCTATATGTGTGTGTGTAAATATAACTTCAGTAAAATGTGATAGTGGAAAAAAGCAGTATTGCTAAATTAATATATTTATTTTATGCAATTAAAATACATTTATTGTTAAACAACTAAATATTGTAGGCCACCATAATAATACATCTGAAATATATTAATAGTGGTTAAAACTTTTTATTTAGATAATTGATTATTTTCTTATATTTGGGGTTGCCATATATTCTGACATATATGCATTTTTCACTGAGGAGGAGAATGTGCCTGGTTGTAAACATTCAGAGGAAAAGTTACACTGATTTAGTGGAAATGGATATGTATCTGAGGTCTACAGTCTTAAATTCTCCTATCCCACAAGTAGCTTGATTTCGTGAAGAAATGGTTTCATGAAGAACCTTTCAAGAAGCATATTTATGAATAGAGAGGCTTCTGTATGCAGAAATTATATGGGGATATTAGTATAATTTTCCAGTGTTACTTTTTTTTTTAATCCTCACCCGAGGATATTTTTTTCTTTATCTTCAGATAGAGTGGGAGGGAGAGAGTGGGAGAGAAAGGGGGAGAGAGAAACATCAACGTGAGAGGGACACATCGACTTGTTGCCTCCCGCACGGAACTGCAACTGAGGTACATGCCCTTGGCCAGAATTGAACCTATCACTTATTGGTCTGCGAGCCGATGCTCTACTGCTGAACCAAATCAGCCACGGCTCCAGTGTTACTTTTTTAAAAAGAAAAGAAGAAACTGAAACCATTCCATTATGTCATTGCTTTAGATAATGTTCAATTATTGACCAGGATTTATCCCTGTTTTCTCTTAGAATGAAAGCATGGTCACTTAGTCCTTTCTAGTTGCTTAGTTTTCTTATGAATCTTTTCTACTTTGGTATAGCACAAGCTAAAGAAAATATTTTCATGGATTACTAGTTTCTTATTAGAATTGCGATTGTAAATGAGCTCTCAGTGCTGCCTGCTGGCTGGCTGTGTCATTCTAGTAAGCTTACTTTCTTACAAACAATTCTTAATCTTGTGGCAAGTATGCATCCTTTTTAAAGAAACAAATCTTGTGGTTACCCAGTGTTAACAGTGTTGATGTTCACAGCCTAAATATAGTGCTGTATGCTAAGGTACAGATCTTTTGGGTTCAGCATGCCAAGATGGCTAGGTGCTTTATGACTCAAGTCTTCATTGTCGTTTTTGTATTTGAACTACTATGAACTTTTCATGAAGCAAGCTGAGCTGTATCAGTAGGCCTCCATTTGGCAAGAATATGTCATTTATATAAGTCCACCTCTGCTCTTTTCTCATTAGTCTACGATTTGTAATTCAGACTTGCTTCTTGATTATCTGATTATTAACATGATCCTAACATGCTATTATTATTTTTTTAATCCTCACCTGATGACTTTTTTTTTTTTTTTTTGTCTTTAGACAGAGTGGGAGGAAGAGAAAGAGAGAAACATCGATGTGAGAGAGACACACTGACTGGTTGCCACCCTCATGACCCCAACTGGGGCTGGGGATGAACCGCAACCGAGGTACGTGCCCTTAGTGGGAACCAAACCAGGACTCTCTGGTCCGTGGGCCGACACTCTAACTGCTGAGCCAAACTGGCCAGGGCCAGAACATGCTATTATTTATAAAAATGTATTCAGAAATCTATAGGCATAATAGTTTTAATTTTGAATATGGGTATCCTTACAAATGAGAAAAAAACTGATACAGAAATTAAAGCTCAGAAGTAACAAAAACAGCCCTAGCTGGTTTGACTCAGCAGTTGGAGTTTTGGCCCTTGGACCAAAGAGTCGCAGGTTCAATTCCAGTCAAGGGCACATACCTTGGTTGTGATTTGATCCCTGGCCCTGGTCAGGGTCATGCAGGGGGTGACCGGTCGATGTGTCTCTCTCACATCAGTGTTTCTCTCTCTTTTCCCCCTTCCCTCCCTCCCACTCTATCTGAAGAATCTATGGAAAAATATCCTCGGATAAGGATAAAAAAAAAAAAAAAAAAAAGTAACAAAAAAACAGATTATAGAAAATGCAGGAAATAAAAAAGAAGACACAAATCCCTCCTAGTTGCAAAAGCCTAACAGACATTCTCGAGGACTAGAATTTCCAGTATGCTATTATTGTCTATGCAATTGGTTCTTTTAGATTTTGTGATTGTAATGTGTATATCATTTCACATACCTGCTTCTCTTTCCAGGATATATGTAAGATAGTTGTCTCCATTTACCTTACCTTAGCAGTAAATTTTAAAAAGCAACAAATATTTATTCAGTAAATATGTATGACTAGAGTGCCATAAATCTTACAAATTTAGAGTATATTTGTTTAGGGAACCATAGCTGCATTACATCAATTTATATTTCTGTAGTAATCAAATGTCATAAAAAGAACACATTTATTTTAGAACTACTAAGTTATATAAGGTCTGCACTTAAATATTTATCTTTATAATTAATTAATAATGAAATACTCTCATTTATAAATCTGTTCATCAGCCGAGTAGCACATATAATTTTAAAGGTTTCATTTTTTTTTTGTCTTGTCTGTGTATTTTTAGCAAGAGAAGATTTCACTGAAGCAATAAAGTACCTAAAAGGATATGTTATCGCTGGAATTTATTCTAAAGAAGATGTTTCAATACTGTAAGTTTATTGGTCTTCTAATTTTAGGGAGGAAGTTTGCAAAATAATATATTGCTTGTCTTTACACAGTTGATGTAGAAGATAGGGTAGCAACATAACAATTTTTAATTACCTTCTAGGAAGATATGGGAAGTACCACCTGGCTATTTAGAATTTTTAGATATTCTTTTACTTTAGGCTGCCGCCCCAGAGGAGGAAGCTTGGATTTATATTGCTTCGTCTTCCTATAAAAAATGTTTTCTTTGGGTTTTGATTCTTTGGAGTTGTCATATTGGGGGGCGGGGGGTACTTCTTGAGTATTTGGATTTTGATTTGCCACCAAGATATATATATATATATAAAAAAGTTTTTCCAGATTTCTCCCAGAGTTTTTTTTAATCCTCACCCGAGGACATTTTTCCATTTTTTTGTACAGATAGAGTGGGAGGGAGAGAAAGGAAGAGAGACAGAGAGAAACATCGATGTGGCTGCCACCCACACGACCAACCAGGGCCGGGGACACACTGCAACCCAGGTATGTGCCCTTAGCGGGAACCGAACCCGGGTCTCTCTGTACCGCAGGCCGACGCTCCAACCGCTGAGCCAAACCGGCCAGGGCTTTCCCAGAGTTTTAATTGGTGCAACTATACCTGATAGTTCTACCTAATTTTAAGTTACTGCTAACATATACTTAATTAGTGCTTTTTACAGCCACTTAAGTTACTTTGTTTGTGGAATTTGGGGCACCTGTAAACTACCAAATATTTCAGTTGCTGCAGAATGAAGGAATGAACTGAAATTTGGAGATTGTCACATTCTATATAATGGCTCATTTTCAGGTACAAGTGGAGTTAAGCCCAGTAATTTGTCTTTCTTACCATCTGACTGTAATATTCCTAATTGTGATTTCTGAGCTTAAATATTTCATGCTGAACACTGATGACATATGCTTTTGATGGTCAAGTTCCTGTTCTATCCTCGAAATTAGAAATTTAAAAAAAGCACTGAATTCCAGATCTTTAGAAAATATGAAACCTATTCACTTGACCCACTATCTTCTTTTCTGCTGTCTTCGTGCATGTAACTGTGGCCCCAAGAGCTAGAGCAGTCATTTTCAGGGTGTGTTTTGTTTATAACCAACTGGTCAACTAAGAGGGTTTTGCAGGTAATCTGAAGACTGGCCTCTCTTACCAGTGCTTATGTTATTGTAATGTCTATACTTTGTTCTAGCATGAATTTTTTACATGATATAAATGTGACTATATCACTGGCAATTTCACACAAAGCATTTTTTCCTGTTTAGTGATTTTCTTTTAGGGTTAGTTGGCAAAAGTAGTGGCAAGAAAGAACAGCTTTGGACTCTGTTTCAGTGGAGAAAGCACAGACTGTGTCTGGAGTACCTCGGTTTGAATTCTCTCTCTGCTATTTATCACTCTCTGAGTCCTGGTTTCCTCTTCTGTAAGAGGGGGGTGACAGTGGCTACTTTATAGGGCTGTTCTGAGGGTTAAGTGAAAACTTAACTAAAGGCAGCTGGTGTGGTGCCTGCAAATAGTAGATTTCTAGTAAATGCCTCTCTCCTTGCTCAGCAGCATGGTGAGCAGACCAGAAAGTTTGAGAAGTATTCAGTGTGTCCTAATCCTATTTGGACATTTTCTTAATGAATAGTTATCTAGAAAAAAAATCTGAGCGATTATTATCTGTTGCTTTCTTTCAATCTAGGTTGTCAAGGCTACAGAACATAAATTTGTCTGTAAATTGAGTTCATTTTTCCCTTGGTAATAGGGCTTCTCATTTGCTGCCTTCCACTGTGTCCTCTTGGCCTCATTGTTTGTTTTTGATGACTTACTATAGTTTAGCTGAAACTTTAAAATATATATTTCTCCACAGGTCAAATAAATATACTGCAACTCTTCCAGCCTTGCTGCTTGCCAAACACAAAGAAGGAAAAGTAGAGAGCATTCCATTAGCTAACACCCATGGTCAAGAAATAGTTCAAATAATAACAAATGCATTACTGGAAATATTTGTGAGTATATTTTATAATAAGGATGTTATTTGAAATAAGGATATCTAGATCAGTTAAAGGTAGTTCATCTTAATACATGATTTTCCAGCTTTTGTTGGCATAGGGCATGATATCTGTGAGCTGAGGATTCATTGAGTTGCCCTCTTTTATTGTTCACTCATTATGCATAAAGCTTCTCCCTAGTCCACTGCCAAAAGTTTCCATGTCTTTGGATTATTTTTATTGCTGAAGCCATTGTGGATGATGGCCAGTTGAAGTACTTAATCTAGGCTGAAACTTGGTATAAAGCACATGGATTCCAGAGAGTCCGACTGCTCAGCTTCAGATCCTTTCCTGATTCCTTACTGGCAGTGTGTTCACTTATCAGTGTCCCAGTTTCCACATAGGTAAAATGTAGGTGATAGTATCATAGTAGCAATTGCAGAGTGTTATTGTAAAGACTAAATGAGATGTGTGTTCAGTGTTTGGCCCATGGTAAACATTAAACAAATGTTAGTTGATATTTTTAAAAAATTGATTCCAGAGTTGGGGGGTGGAGAGAGAAGGGGAACATCGATGTGAGAAACATCAATCGCCTGCCTTCCTTACACAACTGGACCGGGGTCCAAACCCGCAACCTGAGTATGTGCCCTGACCAGGGATCTAACCCACCACCTTTTGGTGTATGGGATGATACTCCAGCCTGCTGAGCCACACTGGCCAGGGCTAGCTGGTATTTTTATTCTTTATACAGTTTTAGAACAAAAGACTGACTTATGAAAGGCCTTTTTCAATGCTGTGTTTAATAGTAGATTCAGGGGCACAAAAAATGTAATCTTCATTTTTGTTGTTGTTAATTCTTACCCAAGGAGATTTTTCCTATTGACTTTTTTTAGAGAGAGTGGGAGGGAGGGAAGGAGAGAGGAAAGGAAAGGGAGAGAGAGAGAAACAGAAACATTGATGTGAGACACATCTATTGGTTGCCTCCCGCAGGGGCCCCAACCAGGGCTGGGGATTGAACTTGAGACCATTTGCTCCACAGGCGGATGCTCTAACCACTGATCCACACCATCCAGGGTTAATCTGCATTACTTTATTTCAGTTGGTTTGCATTTATATTAAATATAGTTAGATTATTATAAATATGTTTTTCTACAATTATAAAGTGACATAAGGAGCACTTTTATCTGCTACAAATACTTTGTTTTTATGTCATCATGATGATCTAATGACATTACATTTTAGGCTCAAATAAATGACTGTAGTCTTTTTTTCCTTTTATTTTATTTATTTTTTTATTAATTTATTTTTATTACAGATGTTTATCCTTTTCCCCCCATTGACACCCTCCTCCCAATCCCGCCCCCTCCCCCCCTCATTGTTGTCTATGTCCATTGGTTACGCATACATGCATATAAGTTCTGTGGTCTATCTCCCCCCTCATCCCTCTCTTCTGAGGTTTGTCAGTCTGTACCCCACATTCATGTCTTCGAGTCCATTCTGTTCATCAATTTGTTTTCTTTGTTATATTCTATAAGTAGGTGAGATCATGTGATATTTGTCTTTTTCTGATTGGCTTATTTCACTTAGCATAATACTCTCCAGGTCCCTCCATAATAACTGTAGTCTTAATTACTATATCTTTTTGTCACCTTGGTTCTGTTCCCTTACCACTCTCCCCCAGTTAAAGTTATAGGTTATTATTGCATTATTAATATTTTCAGGATGTAGTTTTCTAAATTATTTACTAAAGTAACAGTTTTGTCTTTAATAACATGTTATTAAATAAATATTTCTTTAGCAAATACATAGGGTTATATTATTGGAATTATTATAAGTATTTTTTTTTCAAGATAATATTGAAAACTATAAAGAAGAAAATTAGAATCAACCTCTTTAACCAAGTTTAAATATGGGGATATATTATCCCAAACTTTAACGAAATTACATGTGTATATATGTGTTTGCCTTTTTATATATTAAAGGATATGTTTATCAAGAAATAAAGATAGGCATATTGGTTTTTTAATATCTGCATAATATTCTGTTGTACTGAGTTCTGGGAGATTCCAAAATGGCGGTGGAGTGAATGGAAGCTACACAGACTGTCTCCCAGGAACAAACTGGAATTACAACTAAAATAAAGACAAACCAACGGAAAAAAGCAACAGAAAAGCAGCTGGCGAGGACCATATCACCAGGGACACTGACTCAATCCTGGTAGGATTGTGGAGGCGTGAGAGGGGGGCTGGGAGCCCATGGTCAGCAGCGGCCTTAGCTGTGAGCAGAGCCCTCGGGGTTAAAGTCCCAAGCGGCTCCACAGGGCAGAGCCAGGACAGACGCTAAAATAGCCACAGCCATTCACCTTGGGCTCCGGCAGATGAAGGGCGGACTGGACTGGAACTGTGTGGGAACACTCGGGATTTGGAGGGCGCTCAGAGCTTTTGCTGAGTTGCAGCCACACTGCACGGTGGCCATCTTACACCACCCAGGGCTCTGGGGGAGAGGTGGTGGCCCTTCCCTCGGAGATTCAACCCCACCCATTGGTCTATTGAAATGCAAAATGAGGCTCATTAATAACCAGCATCTGCCCCACGCTCAGGAAATCCTGTTACACTGAGCACCTGAGGGAGTTTTTCATTAAACTGAGAACGCAAGGCTCTTCAAGTAACCCCTACTGATAGCCTCCAGGCAAAAAGCTAGAGGATAGCTGAACCATTCCTAGAATAGCAACTCTACCCAGGAAAATAAGACTTGACAGTGGTGTTTAACATGGGTCCTCCCTCGCTCATCCAAACCCAGGAGAGGGAGCCCCAAATAACAGAACACCAACACCCACAGGAAAAGTTTGGCAGGCTCCAAAGCCCACTGTGATAGCCAAAATAGTGAAACAAAGAAACAAAGGCCAAATGAAAGAACAAGAGACCTCTACCGAAGACGAGATAAATGAGGAGCAGTTAAGCAAGTTAACAGCTAGAATTCAGAGCCATGATCTTGAGGAAGCTCAATAGCATGAGTAAGGACATCAACACCATGAGTAAAGACATAGAAATGTTGAAAATCAACCAATTGGAAATTAAAAACCACCAAGAAGAAATGAAGAATGACATATCAGAAATAAAGAACTCATTGGAAGGTCTAAACAGCAGACTAGAGGAAGCTGAGGACCGGATCACTGAATTAGAAGACAGGGTAGAAAAAAAAATCAACCAATCAGAAAACCAAAAGGAATAAACAATTAAAAAACAGGAAGACAGCTTAAGAGAACTGTGGGACATCTGGAAACGTTATAATATTCGCATCATAGGAGTCCCCAAAGAAGAAGAAAATGAGCAAGGGTTAGAGAATATATTTGAAGAAACAGTGACAGAAAACTTCCCTAATTTGGAGAAGGAAGAAGGCATTCGAGTTCAAGAAGCACAGTGGGCCCCAACTGAGAAGAACCCAAACAGGCCCACACCAAGACACATAGTAATTAAAACGCCAAAAATTAAAGACAGAGAGAATCCTAAAAGCAGAAAGAGATAAACAACAGGTTACCTACAAAGGAAACCCCATAAGGCTCTCAGCTGACTTCTCAACAGAAACACTTCAGGCCAGAAGGGAATGGCATGAAATAATCAAGGTCATGAAAAACAAGGATCTGAATCCAAGACTACTCTATCCAGCAAGGCTATCATTCAAAATAGAAGGTCAAATAAAGAGCTTTCCAGACAAAAAAAGGCTAATGGAATATATTAGCACCAAACCAGCACTGCAAGAAATGTTAAAAGGACTGCTGTAACTAGTAGAAGAAATAGGAAGAGAAATATAACTACACTAAACAAAAATGGCAATAAATAAGTACATATCAATAATCACCTTAAATGTGAATGGTTTGCTCCGATAAAAAGACACAGAGTGGCTAATTGGATAAGAAAGCATGACTCATCTATATGTTGTTTACAAGAGACCCACCTCACAACAGAAGACTCACATAGGTTGAAAGTGAAGGGATGGAAAAAAGTCTTTCAAGCAAACAGAAAGGAAAAAAAGCTAGGGTAGCAATACTCATATCTGATAAAATAGATTTCAAAATGAAGGCCATAACTAGAGACAAAGAAGGCCACTACATAATATTGAAAGGATCGATTCAACAGGAAGATAAAACCTTCGTAAACATATATGCACCCAATATAGGAGCACCAAGATATATTAAAAATCTTCTGGAAGACTTCAAAGAAGAAATCGACAGCAATACAATCATAGCAGGGGACTTCAACACCCTGCTGACATCACTGGATAGATCCTCTAGACAAAAAAAGTTAGCAAGGAAACAGAGACTCTAAATGAAGCACTAGACCAAATGGATTTAATAGATATCTACAGTGAATTATACCTCAAAACTGCAGAATTCACATTTTTCTCAAGTGCACATGGGATATTCTCAAAGATACATCACATGTTAGGACACAAACAAAATCTCTACAGGTTCAAGAAGATTAAAATCATATCAAGAATCTTCTCAGATCACAGTGGCATGAAACTAGAAATCAATTACAACAAGAATATGCAAAGACATTTAAACACATGGAGGCTAAATAGCATATTATTAAACAATGAATAGGTTACTGAGGAGATCAAGGAAGAAATTAAAAACTTCCTGGAAACCAATGACAATGAACACACAACAACACAAAATTTATGGGATGCAGCAAAAGCAGTACTGAGAGGGAAGTTCATAACACTACAGGCCTACCTTAAGAAGCAAGAAAAATCTCTAATAGACTATCTAACCTCACAACTTAAAGAACTAGAAAGCAAACAAAAAGTAAACCCCAGAACAAGTTGAAGGAGGGAAATAGTAAAGATCAGAGCAGAAATAAATGACATAGAGACCAAAAAGACAATTCAAAGGATCAATAAAACAAAGAGCTGGTGTTTTGAAAAGATAAACAAGATTGATGGACCCTTAGCTAGACTCACCAAGAAACAAAGAGAGAGAACCCAAATACAAAAATCAGAAATGAAATAGGAGAGGT